ATAAAATTTATCAAACTACATCCTAAATATCAACTCTTTAATATTTCATCCATTTATCACAATTCACCTAAAATATCAACTCTAATAATTCATAATTATGTATCTTTTTAATTTTTTATAAATCTAAGAATAAATGAGTGATGTGAAATATTTCATCTCTTGAATGCTTCTTGACAATGCTTAAAAAAAGAATGTCTTAGGATTGAATTGCAACCCTCCAATTTTTTCCCGGTCATGATTCTCAAGTGGATTACAAAATTCTAGTTCAACAAAATGATCTTAAATCAGTCGTTTTTACCTGAGGAAGTAAGAGTACAATACAGTGTTACAAGAGCACGAGCTGTTCTTTCTTTTAACTTAGAAACTAGTGTAAGTTTTTACAAGCTCTAGATGCAGTGATTCGAAAACACTGGTTCATGTCGGAACTGACTCAGTCAAACTTTACAAGTAGGGCTAACTGGCAGTTCTCACCCGAACTAGGGTTAGTTGGCATGGTAACCATTTTCTGAGCTTCTTCATGTGAGAAATTCATAATATTGCGAAAACTCTGTATCAATAATAATTAAGAATGTACAAGACCTGTATATATATGGTTAATAACAACTCTAGATAGATACCAATAATCGTTACTAATAATTACTTACTAGACACCTATACCCATAGGTATCCATAATATTGTGTATTGATATATACGATAATATGTACCCAAGAGATATATACCCATACACCCAAACAGATATGTATCCGTACAGACACTGATATATATCAATACGCTAACACTCCCCCTCAAACTCAAGATGCTGTGACACAAAACAACTTGAGTTTGAACAATAAGTTGCATAAAAGAACTGAGTTCGATTGTCAGGTCTTCAGGTGCAAGGCGTGACAAATAGAAGTACTGGTCTCCATGCTTAAATTGCTTGAACAACAAGCACAGATAGCTGCAGATGTCAGGAACAAACGGCCTCAGGAGCAGCCGCACAATAGGGATCGAGTAACGAAAAACTCGATCAACATCAGACAAACAGGCATTCGAAACATTCGGTATTGAGAAATACGATTACCAAACAGGAAGCCCATGGAAGAGGGATCAACATTTGGACATTAGATTTGGAGGATCGAATAACGAAAAACTCGATCAACATCAGAAAAACAGGCATTCGGAACATTCGGAATTGAGAAATGTGATCATCAAATAGGAGGCCCGTGGAAGAGGGATCAACAATAGGACATTAGGTTTGGAGTTAAGAACAGTAAAATACAAAATACATCAGAGAGTCGTGTTGAAAACAGTAAAATCCAACATACATTAGAGAGTCGAAACACGACTCGGTGGAGAAAAATCAAAGAGTCGAAAACACGACTCGGTGGAGAGAAATCTGAGAGTACAGTAAAATCCAACATATATTAGAGAGTTGAAACACGACTCGGTGGAGAGAAATCTGAGAGTACAGTAAAATCCAACATATATTAGAGAGTCGAAACACGACTCGGTGGAAAAAAATCAAAGAGTCGAAAACACGACTCGGTGGAGAAAAATCAAAGAGTCGAAAACACGACTCGGTGGAGAGAAATCTGAGTGTCGAAAACACGACTCGGTGGAGAGAAATCTGAGAGTCGAAAACACGACTCAATGGCTAGATGGTGCAGATCAGCCGTTTTCATAGGCCATTTTCGAGGTGGATTTAGAGGAGGGTTTTAGATCCGAATCAACAAGGGTATGTCATAAGAGGGGAGCACATTTAGGATCGTCATTATTACCATCCATATGCATGAGTAAAATGATGAGAGATAAGTGAGACAAAGGAGAGAGACCGTGAAAGTAGAGAGACCATAAGACTGAGAAAGCAGAGAGAGATTTGGGGGCAGAGAGATTAGAGGAAGACCGAGAGAGAGAATAGAGGAAAGATCCATCGAGAGATGGGAAAACCATGATGAGATGTGCTAGATCAGTTAGAGAGAGAAAGAGAAACAAATATATCGTGATTTTTGAGGATGAGAATGGAGAGAGAAATGGAAAGTGGGGCGTAAAGAAAGAAAGAATGGTTACACTGAATCAGGATTTTACAAATAGTAATTTCAGAGATAGTAAATGAATATCAAAATATGAACTTGTTATGGATATCTCTCTACATAGAGAGAGACATTTTACAGATATATATTTGTGGGAAAAAAAGCGGGTGAGAAGAAGACAGAATGGTGAAAAGTAGAAACTTTTTGCTGGGAAAAACAAAGGAACGTGAGTCCTATAGGCATTAACTCATGTGAGAAACTCATGGTAATATTAGTGTAGAGAGAAAGAACGCAGAGAGAGAAAATCATGGAAAATGGGAAGGTTTCGAGGGCACTTAATTCACTGTGTACAACCCGAGATTATATTGCAACGCTTAATCAGATCCCCTCTTGGTGAGCTGTAGGCATCGTCTTCTTTCGACTTTAAAGAGAGAGAGAGAGAGAGAGAGAGAGAGAGAGAGAGAAAGCAGATCGATTTGAGAGAGAGAGAGAAGTGTTTCACCCTCTAGAGGTAGTGATATAAGCCTGTTTTTAGTGTGTTTCAAGCTGTCTAAATAGCGATTGAATGCGGGTTAGGGAAGAGGTTAAAAAGTGGGTGTATATAATGATACTGACATTGAGTGAATGATCTCTGTAGGAATTGGGTTTTGCTGAGCTGCTGCTTTTTGGGGACTTCACTTTGGCAAAGCTATGGAATTTGGAGACAGAGAGGAGGGAAAGCTTGCCAATAAACAGAAAGTAATGTAGGGAGAGAAAGGGGGAAACTTTGGACATGGCAAGGGGGCGATCAGTAAGAGGGCGATCTGTAAGAGATAGAAAACCATATTTGTTAGCAGAGAGAGAAAGAGACTTCGGGCTTTGAAAGAGAGAGAAGAGGATGCATATGAAATTTCTGGAACGAATATAAGCCTTCCAAATATGATCTGAGGTTGGCTTGGCTTGCTCAGATTTGAGCCGAGGAATCAATGGCTCTATACCATATGAAAAACTCATAATATTGCGAAAACTCTACATTCAATAATAATTAAGAATGTACAAGACCCATCTAAATATATGGCTAATAACAAATTTGGATAGATACCAATAATCATTACTGATAATTACTAACTAGACACCTATACCCATAGGTATCCATAATGTTGTGTATTGATATACACGATAATTATGTACCCAAGAGATATATACCCATACACCCAAACAGATATGTATCCATCCAGACACCAATATGCTAACACTTCATATGGAAAAGCAACTCCTTTAAGTGCACGGATCGATCCAACATAGATCAATATTTATTGAACTCCAAACTACTGATCCACCAATCTTTCAAGTTCTCCCTCAATTCGCAATGAGAAGACTTTAATTTTGTTTCAAGTTGATCGTGATTGAGCCCTTAACAAAGCGGCATGCATTAGATCAAATCAAACATTGAGGAGATCCATGATCAAAAGTTTGCAGTTTTTTCCCTCAAAATTATGAATAATAACAATAATAATAATAATAATAAATCAAAATGATTAGCTAAACTTTGTGGTGTACACACTAGAAAAGATAACAAAGTTCGGGAAGGATTTGAACCTATTGTATGCTTTGTTGGAAAGAGTGGTGCAGGAGGTTAGAGAGGAGCATGTGCTTCAGATTATTACTAATAATGCCAAAGCGTGTATACGTATGAGTAAGAAGTTGATGGCAAGAAAGATGCACATGCTTCAGATTGTTACTAATAAATACAGCGGGAACTACAAACACAGATGGCCCACTTGATTCATTATGCATGTCATCAAATATTTGAATATCGAACTTTGATTTACTAGAGATGATGCATGTAATTAACGTTCATGTTCTATTCTCTTGTTGTCTGCAGTCTTTAGGGCATTTTTTCAACCCTCCATGCTACCATTCACATCCTGCTATTTCCCCCGAAGGATGAATACTGCACATCGAGGTTTTAAAGCGATATTTCAAAGCAAGTTAATGCTTCGAGGTTGAAAAGAGTTACTTTTCTCGTAAAGAAATTTTCTCAACTTAGTGCATTTGTGGAGTTTAAAATGTTGAACAGAACCATGCTCTCCTTCTCAGCTTGTTATGTATAGAAATGCACAAGGGCTATTGGGATTCAACCTTGCAAATATGTCATGATCTAAGATTTATTCAGATTAGCTCTCTTGTCAGTCATTTCTTACCAACTAGTTTTGATACTAATTGGGGCATTGATTATTTTTTATGCCTGTTCTTTTCAGCTCCATGTTGAGCTCTACAGGGCACTAAGATAGAGAGTTTACAGAGAATAACGATTGATATGCTTAGTCAAGGATGTTGTACTACAGGGTGTGTGAGACATTAGAGTATATTTTAGTGGTTACACATCTCTATAAGAAACAAGTTGACTTCTCTCAAACTTTAGAAGCTTGGCGTACATCACTGTAATTTGAACTTGAGAAGGTGGCATTTGGAGATGGCAACTAAGAACTGCAACCCCGATTGATTTAGATTACATATTTATGGAGGATCCAACTAAAGAACGGTTGGTGGTGGTAGAGAAACTTGACAAGATGACATTTCTTGAAATAATAGGGAGTCGAAGAGAAAGACGATAGCTGGTAGGAAGGCAGACATGGGAACCAACCAAATGAAAGGCCACAGTTTGAGCAATTTGAAAGAGATGTATGTCAAGCGTCAATGGAGGATGATAGGGGAGGAAATGGTGGTGGTACTGATTCTAATGTCACCTAACCCTAACCCAATATATATACCAAGGACATGAGTCCAAATCTGAACAGGGTGGGGGCTAGCATGAGGGTTACCATGGCATTGTATCATCAACCTGATTCCCAATTACCTTGAATTCCTAGACTTGTTGCTCAACCAAAGGTGAGATGGTAGGATACAATGATTGAGATTCATATGAGTCATCTGTCATTCCTTTTAGTATTAGATTGTACATTTTTACTCATTTGAATATAGTTTTGAGATTTACTACATTTTAGACTGTGGAATGGGTGACTTTGTGTCACTCAGATAGGAATCAGACTCTCGGTATTCGTGCATTGTTTATAATTTTGTCAAATTCTCTATACATTCATTAATTTTGTCACAAAAAAAAAACATCCACCTAATGTAAATTTTAAGATTTTTTGAACATTTTTTCCAATGTTTCTTTATAAGCTCGGTATACGATGATTAAACTGGTCCAAGTCGGTTGGTTCACTAAGTTGAATTCGGACTCGCAGGTGACCGAGTCAACCTCTTGACCCAACTTTTAGAACAATGGCCTTTTCATCTAAATTCCGGATTTAAAAACGGGAACAAGTAGGGGGCATTATGATAATTTCACCCACCTGCATTACGGGCTAAATAATCAAATTCCCTTTCTTGTTCATGTTTTCAAACCTTTAACAAGCTCTTCAAATATTTTCAATAGAAAAGCTGTGGAGGTATGTGAGAGTGATTATATTAAATAACTACCGTGTTGATAAAAGTGGTTAGTTTGTTAATCTTCACAATATTTTTAGGTCCTTCGACAATTTTAGCTAATTCCTTTTCTTCAAATTTTTTGAAAAAGTTTTTCTTGGCTTTATGTAAAGATATGACATGCCTATTACCGCCCAATTTTCAGGGTAGCATACAATCCCATTAAAGAAAAGTATACCACAAGTCAATATAAAAATGTCACGATCTTCTTAGCTATAGTAGGTGGTTTAAGATTACTATTTATAGAACTTAAAATTAGAAAAGATTATCTTAGAGCTTTGAGTAATGAAATAACACAATTTCACATCTTACTCCAAAGGGGTTAGTTGGACCTTCTTGTTCCAAAGATAATGATTTTAAAAAAAAATATTAAAATTTATTTAAGATAAACTTTTTAATATTTTCTCATATCATTTGATTTATTTTCCGAAAGTTAAAAAAAAAGTAAGGCTTGTGAAAAAATATATATAGTGATTTATAGCCTCATTAAAGGTACGATCTTTGATAGAGTGAACCGAGTGACATAACCGATCCAAATAATTGAAAAATTCATCATTAATTAGCACAATATACTTATGCACAAATTCATCCAATCTTTCCCCTCCATCTTTAGTCATAAACTTAGAGAGAGAAAGTGAGATAGAAAGAGAAAGTGAGAGAGAACCGCCTCCTTCGTATTTGTGAAGAAGCCGTATTACAGTTGCTTTATTAATGTTGGAGCATCGTCTGTGTAGTTTTCTCTCTCTATTCGCGCGTAATGCAATATTTGGAAACAGTTGATCGTATTTATGTCAACAATCATTGTAAGTTTCTCTGTAAATTATCAGAGATTTAGCGGAGCAGGTCATGGGACCGTGGTAGAGAGAGAAAGAGAACCATTTGTTTGGAGCACTTTCAGTTGCCCTGTTCCATCACCCGCAATACCTCACTTCAAACTAAAGCCAATCTCACCATACTCTCTCTCTCTAGGTTTCGTCTCTCTCGAAATACTTGTTTTGCCATGGATTCTCTCTCTAGATGGACTCCTTTTGTCAATTCGATTGCCCCTCTTCTTTCTCTCTCTAGTTGGATTTGCTATTTGCACCCGAGTGAATAGAACTACCAAACAATTGTCACATCTCACTTTCTCTCTCTAGGCCACTGCCCTTCTATTGGTTTTTGGTGTATTCCATGTGATATGCATCTTGCTATGTTCTCTGTGCAATTCTAATTGAGCTCATGGAGATTTATCTATGATAGCTCGTTATGGTCGAATTGGTTCTTCATATTTTTGAATCAGAGGTGCTTCTTTGAGGTGAAATTCAAGTGGGGTTTTTGTTATTTCAGGGAATTGTATCAGGAATCTGTGGTTTCAGAGCTGAATCACTATTCAACGATGGTTTTGATGATTATATTGAGATATGAGACGGAGGACGAGGGTTTTCCTCTGTGAATTCAGGCATCTTGATTCTCTCTGTTTCAGGGATTATTCTTAAACTGCTTGGCATCTCAGAAATAGGGTTTGTTTCGGACTGATTTGTCTTTGTTTTCACTGATTTTGGGCGGCGCGATTTTGCAACCAACTTCATAAAATAAGCTTTGATGTTGAGGCCTCTTTCTCTGCGCCATTAGGAACTTGTAATTTCATAGTTTTAATTAAAATTCTAATATGGGTCAGATGATTCAAGTTCTTAAACAAAGATTTTCATCCCTGTTGCTTAGTTTAGCTTCATTCCACTGTTTGGGATGTTATTGTGACGCATTCCCTATCTAATCTAGTGGTGTCACTACCAGTGCATTGAGCAATTGAATTTTTCTCAAAATTCAGGCCGACCATTGAGAAACGGGGTTTTTCTTTCTTTAATTCCACTGCTGAGAACTGAGAATTGGGTCTTTCTCACCCTGAATTCACAGGTTGAGCATTTACTATGGTGAAAGCCTTGGTTAGTTGATCTTTAACAAGGATGCTTGGGGCCGTTCAAATAGGGGTCCTGGCAGCCTGCATCGTTCTCTTTGTACCCATGGGCATGGCAGGATGGCACCTCAGTCGCAACAAGATGCTGTTCTTCAGTGGTGCCCTCTTCATTACTCTGGCTGTTGGTGTTCATCTCATGCCATATTTCCCTTCTCTCTCTAGCATTGTATCCACTTTCTCATCTGTGGTTGTTGTAGAAAACAGAGATTCTTGTATTTCATTTTTGCATGATATGGACTGGAAAAATGATTCTATGCTCGGTGAGTTATCCATGAATTCCTCAAGTTCAAAGCAATCTTGGACTTGGTCTCAATCTAGCCATGTCCTTTCTTGTGAATTTCAAAAATTGGGGAGAACCCATGTTTTGGATCTTCTCAATGGATCATGGATTGTGGTCTCTGGTGATTCAGAAGCTCGTTTGTTTGTTCTCTCTCTACTAGGACTCATGCTAGGCACAACGGAATCTATAGAAAATGATCTCTTCAAAAGGCATAGCAACTATGAGACTTTGGTGGAAGAAAATGGTGCAAAAGTGGACTTCATATGGGCGCCTTTCCCTATCAATCTCACAGATATTTTGAAGAAATTTGAGAAAGAACACAAGTATCCCGATGTCTTAGTGATGGGTTCTGGTCTATGGCATATGCTTCATTTCACAAATGCTTCGAACTATGGGGAGTTGTTGGGGTCAATAAGGAAATCAGTGGTTTCTTTGTTGCCATTTTCACCTGAATTTGGCATTGATGGGCCAGTTGCAGGGTCGGTTTCAATTCAATCCCCACATATGTTTTGGCTTGGGATGCCTTTGCTTATTAATTCAATGCTCAATACTGAGGCCAAGAAGGAGAAGATGACTGAGAAGATGTGTGATGCCTATGAGAGTGAACTCTATAGGAGTAGGCTCTTGCGCAGATCTGGTGGGCCTCTTGTGCTTCTTGATATTAGGTCTTTAAGCCTTGGTTGTGGTTCGCATTGTACAGAGGATGGAATGCATTATGATGTGTTGATATATGATGCGGCTGTTCACATCATGCTAAACGCTTTGTTGATTGAATCTCATCAGAGAATTTGAGTTGAGTAGTTGACCTTTGGTTTTTTTACTTGCTCTATTTGGGATCTTGATGGCTGCCTGTTTTATACATGGATTTGGCTTGCATGCTGCATTCGACATTAATGAGGTACAGACTCTTCCAATTCCAAGTTCGCGGCTGTGGGGATTCCTTTTTTGATTCCATAGAGTTCGAAACTAGTTCGACCTACTTGTATGAGAAAAGCAATTTGATTGTTTTTGTTTTGCATTGACTACATACTGATCCTTCCAAGAAATAATTTTTGGGATGTAATGATATTCCACATATTTAGTCTTCACCGACTAAATCAGTCAGTGTTTTAACATTTGATTACACAAAGGGAAATTATGTTCTTCCTGTCTGAAACTTTAGGAAATATTTTCACGATTTTATAAGATGCCTACGAAAGTTAATTTCAAGTTACAATCATTTTATTTAGATTGTGGGATCTTCATCTTGGTTGGAATTTGACACTGATATGAATGCTTTTTATGTTTTTTTTCCTTCTATAGGAACCCATGAGAAGCTTTTTATGTTTTTTTTCCTTCTATAGCAACGCATGAGAAGCTTTTCATGTACATGGGATTTTCATTTGGGGTCCTGTTTGTTTGATTGGTTATAGTATTTATGTTTTGCCACAAAATCACGGTATCACATTATTTTCCGGGCCAAATTGCCCTAGCCTGAGTGAACTTGACTCTTAATTCCTAACTTTGTGAGTCTGCTATCAATTTTATCTATACTGAATCTAACCTAGCTTTGTATTACAATAAATGCTGTCTGCAGATCTCATTAAACTTTATTAAGATGCATGTGTTTTGGAGAGTCAGTGCTTTTGTCAACTCTTTCATTTTGATGGAATCTGTGGGTACATTGATTATATTTATAACTATTTGTACAAATACCTCTAAGATTCCCATCGTTATTACATAGAGGCCAATAAGCATATCTTGAGTTGGTACAGAAATAGGTTCCCCAAATGCCTGAGGCAAGAGATTCATATGAGAAAACATAAGCAAACGTGCTTTTGTTTGAGCTTCCAAAGACAAAGGTACATGAACAGCCATCTGATCCCCATCGAAGTCTCAATTGACTCCCCTACGAACTAATGGATGTAAATGAATAGATCATCCCTCCACTAGAATAGGTTGGAATATCTGTATGCCTAATCTATGCAAGGTAGGTGCTCTATTCAACAATACAGGACATCCTTCCTTAACTTTTCAATTCATCATGCTGCCATCTATTACTTGCCATGCGATCGCCACGGCACTTCCGAAAATTGTCTGGGTGTTACCTTCCTAATTCTTTTTTTTTCTCTTTTTTTTTTTTTGAGCTTAGCAGGCCTCATGGTTCTGGTTCTGGTTCTGGTTCTGGTTCTGGTTCTGCTATTGTAAAATTGATTTATTTTGCAATTTGCATGACAAATACAAAAGTATCCCTTAAGGCTTTGAGCTGGCTAGCTTCTCCTTTAGATCAAAATGTATGAAATCCTCACCATAACTCTAGAGTTAATGTCCAATTTTTGTTCTTTATGAATTCTTCATCATCGTTTTTGTCTTACTATTTGGCATATTTGTGGGTGGCATGAGTCTGTTGCACACCATGGATTGTGCAGATGAACTTATTGTCTCAATGTCGACGAAATAAGATGCTTTTCATTTCATTTTGGGTTCGCGGCTGCTTCTAATCGAAAAAACAGAAAATCTGTTATTCAGTCTTTGGGATTATGAAACAACTAATATGTACATTGAAGCAGATCTGGAAACACATTCTAAAATCCAAAAATTTGGTCACTTCCAATTGCATATGGAGCCTTTGTCTAGTTGCTTATAAGTTGGTCCATGAAATGTTCTCGAATAAAGTAGTTAGCATTCCGGTTTTCTTTGTTGAGAGTTCTCCATTCAGGATTGTAAACTTGATGCGTTCTTCAGTAAGCCGCCTGGTACAAGCCTCCCAAATTGTAAAGTTAGAGAGAATATGAGAGGAGTAAAATCCTTTAATTACTTAAGATAAAATTGAATGAGTATTTACCAGTGATTAAAAACATGCTTTCAACCCGGAAAAACTGGTTGAGTCGACTCTAATGTCCCACTTGGTTTATAAATGAAGCCTCAGATGTACCCAAGCTTTTGTTATCTGTACATTTTTGGTTTTTGTCCTTGTGTTGTTCCAAGTTCCAACACAATAAAGGCATTTTCTAATGTGGTAAGAACGTAATTTTGATTTGGTGACAAGTTGGCTTCACAATTTATATTCTAAAACATTTCTCACAAATTTGGAAAACTCATCTAAGTTATTCCAAGTTAATTATTCAACTCAGCTGGTTAACATGGTTTTGGCAGTGACTGAGTTTGCTGCTGAGTTTGAGTTTTTGAATGTTGGTGTATACGAATTATTTAACTGCTCTTTTGCACCAAAGGAGCAAAATAATTTAGCTTACAATACTGTGACTATAAAGTCCATAAGGGTATGAGACTCACATAAGTGATGATGTGAATATTGGTTCTGTGAGCATCAAACTATCGGCTTGAACAAATCTTACAGAAGGTAGGTTTGTAATTTCAAAAGTATTTCCTTTTAAAATACAAAAAATCAGGATGTCCAATGGGTTTAATGTGTTCCTCTGCCCAAAAATATTGTTTTTAAGGATTTGAGTGGCATAAACCAGAGAAGAAAGAAAAATACGAATAAAAAGAAAAATCAGTGATGGGGCTGGGGGACCTGTGATCCTGTGATTCAATAAGAGATGCAGGACTTAGAGTCATGTGTGGGTTAGTTCTCACATTAGAAGACATGAGCCTCCTCTTAACTTTTGTGAGGCTGAGGCCAGACCTTGTGGATAATTTATTTTTGATGCTCTATAATCTAAACATGCATTGTGTTATTCAATGAACATTCCATCACTCTATTAATATCCTGTTTTTTCTTATTTTATGCTTCTTCAGTTTCTAAGTGATGCATCTGCTAGGCATGCTCACAGAGTCATATGTAAGTTCTGTAAATCGAGGACAGGAATTTTATGGGCATGCCTATACCTGTCATTTCAATAAACCTAGAATTTCTTGATGGTGGCCTTCATGAATTTCTCGGTTTATAAGGTGGCATGTACATGCTCTTGGAGTTATAAACCTGCACCTCCTCAATCTTCTTACAAGTTAAGAGAACAACAAAGATAAAGAGTATCACAAATAGTCTAGTTTAAATATTTCAATGAATGCCAGTCCCTTGTTTAGGAGGGGCTGAGGCTGTGAGTGGCAAAATCAGCTACAGAAAAGATCCTTTTGGGTGAAATTGTTGTTGGTTTTTTTTTTGTTTTTGTTTTATTTTTATTTTTTCTTGGAAGGGGGCAGGTGGGGGGTTTTTTATGGCTCCTCATCCATGTCTTTGTGTTTACTCCATAAAATATGTTCATTTTATTTTATTGCGCATTCAGACACATGAATATGAATCATATAACATAACTGGGATTATGCCCAATTTAACAACTGGATTAAGAGTTTCAGCATAGCCAGGTCCGGATTGCTGCTATAACCTTTACAGTGAGTTGTCCTTTATCTGTAGGGTCTGTTTTGTATAAGGTGTCAACCTTTAACAATCACAGTAAGGTGCACCTCCAAACTCTATTGGAACATGCAGTTCTGGTCCTGGAAATCCCTGTAATTGTTTGAAAATCTCCATCACTAATTATGAAATTTAAAGCTCCCAAAAGGTGTAGAATGAGCAGATCTAAAAACAATTGAAAATCTTGAAAATGGTTGATCTAGATAATGTGTTACAATGTACTTTTTTAGGACTTGAAAATCTTTTTTTTTTCCTTTCATATCCATGCGTTTCATGGTCGAGATGATCAACTGAAAGGTTTTCGAGCATCAGAGAAACATTTTATGATGGATTTTTGATGTGTGCGTTACTTCTATAGGATAAGGTTGATGCTTTATACAAACGTTTTCCCTATCAGTATTCTATACTAATACAATAATTTTACGAGGATGCCTGTATGTCTGTCATCAATGAGCAAAATGTGAGTACTTAATCACGGCTGTTTTTTTCTTATACCTATACTTCTTTCTGGGTTTTATAATGATTAGTATTCAAGACTTTTTCTTATATAGAGGGTACTCAGGTAGTCTGGATTGCTTCTCTTTCTACTTATACATGAGGGTTTCTAAGAGGACCAGCTTTACTGTATTTTTGCTAGATAAATTTTTCCTCAGGAAATGCTTGGATTTTTTGGTTTGTTGTCCTCCATTTAGGTTTTTGGGTCTTTCTGTAGCTCAGTAGCTCTCCTCTATTTTCACATGCTTGAAGCCTGCATATGGTTACTTTTTGAATCTCTGCTTCCCTTACATGCCTGCCCATGCATCACAAGGAAACCTCCTAGCATCTTTCTATGCTTCCATCTTGTGTTTTTTAACTTTAGACCAAGTGTCATTCTAATCATCTAGTATGATGTCATATCTTCATTTATAATTTCGTGACCATGGCTTTAACGAAATGACTGTTATTTTGTGGAAGCATCCTTTTCTTTAATCTGAAAAATGCTTGTGGTGCATAGAAAAGCTTTCATATCAACCCATTTTTCAATAGAATGTAGAATCTGTGTCTGATCACCATAATATTATATGTTACCCAAAAAAAAAAAATGTTTGACTTGTTTTCTCTAGATTGACTTTTGAAACATGTTCAGCTTCTTACTTAGCCGAAAAAAAAGAAAAAACATGTTCAGCTTCTTCAAGTGAACAATTGTTTCTTCTCTTTGGAACCCCAGGTGCTTCCATATGGCAGGTGGCTCCGAACTTCAAACTGCTTGGTTTTGTCTACTGACTTCCATAAATATTACAATAATGAATAAACATGCCGTTTTTATAACATTCAGTTGGATTTTTATATTTTGAATTGGCCTTCCATAACGACTGCAAAGTTGGTGACATTAGTCCGAAAAAGAAATACATTTGTGACAACTGCAAAGTTGTATCATATGTGATGCCCAGGTTTGATTAGATGCTTCCTTTATGGGATTCTGAGGAAGTGAGTGTAAAAATAGGAACAGGAACTGGCATTGGTTCTTGGTTATTCATTCTTGAAGGGCATTTCATTGTACTTTTTGAACAAGCTGTTGATTATCATCTCTAGGTGCTGTTTTGGGGTGCCAAATTGTGGCATTTAGGATTCATGCATGTTCATCTGTGAAGAGAACAAATATAAATGGGGAAACTTATCAAGATGTTATTTTGCGACTATTTCAAACCATGATAATGTGTCTTTTTCATGTGTCTTTTGATGGTTAAATAGTTCATCTCTTTTGCGTATTCTGTCAAATTTTTCATATAAATAAAAGGACCAAAAACCA